GGCGAGAAACAAAAATGGGCAGAGTTTCTTTCACGCCCATGCCCCTGTTACCTAGAAGTAAACAAGTACCTGAAAGTTAGACTGCTGTTACGGGCTGCTTCATGTGTAATTACCTAAGTGTAGTTACAGGATGAGAGCTACGCTCGTGGTGTCCCGTCTTCCCAGCACTCTTTGTCATATAACGCTTGTGTGTGTGTGTGTGTGTGTTGTGTGTGTGTGTTGTGTTTGTGTGTGTGTTCGCACCTAGTTGTACTCACCTAGTTGTGCTTGCGGGGGTTTGAGCTCTGGCTCTTTGGTCCCGCCTCTCAACCGTCAATCAACAGGTGTACAGGTTCCTGAGCCTATTGGGCTCTATCATATCTACACTTGAAACTGTGTATGGAGTCAGCCTCCACCACATTACTTCCTAATGCATTCCATTTGTCAACCACTCTGACACTAAAAAAGTTCTTGCTAATATCTCTGTGGCTCATTTGGGCACTCAGTTTCCACCTGTGTCCCCTAGTGCGTGTGCCCCTTGTGTTAAATAGCCTGTCTTTATCAACCCTGTCGGTTCCCTTGAGAATCTTGAATGTGGTGATCATGTCCCCCCTAACTCTTCTGTCTTCCAACGATGTGAGGTTCAATTCCTCGTAGCTCATACCTCTCAGCTCGGGTACTAGTCTGGTGGCAAACCTTTGAACCTTTTCCAGTTTAGTCTTATGCTTGACTAGATATGGACTCCATGCTGGAGCCACATGTGTGTGTGTGTGTGTGTGTGTGTGTGTGTGTGTGTACTCACCGATTTGTACTCACCTATTTGTGCTAGCAGGATCGAGCATTGTCTCTTGGATCCCGCCTTTCCAGCCATCGGTTGTTTACAGCAATGACTCCTGTCCCATTTCCCTATCATACCTAATTTTAAAAGTATGAATAGAGTTTGTTTCCACAACCTGTTCCCCAAGTGCATTCCATTTTCCCACTACTCTCACGCTAAAAGAAAACTTCCTAACATCTCTGTGACTCATCTGAGTTTCCAGTTTCCCACCCATGTCCCCTCGTTTGTTATTGTTTCGTTTGAACATTTCATCTATTTCCTTGTCAATTCCCCTGAGTATTTTATATGTCCCTATTATATCTCCTCTCTCCCTTTTCTCTAGTGTCGTAAGATTCAGTTCCTTCAGACGCTCTTCATATCCCGTCCCTCGTAACTCTGCGACAAGCCTCGTTGCAAACCTCTGAACCTTCTCCAGTTTCCTTATGTGTTTCTTCAGGTGGGGGCTCCATGATGGCGCGGCATACTCTAAGACTGGTCTCACGTAGGCCGTGTAAAGCGCCCTAAAAGACTCCTCACTTAGGTTTCTGAATGAAGTTCTAATTTTCGCCAGTGTAGAGTACGCTGCTGTCGTTTTCCTATTTAAATGTGCCTCAGGAGTTAGGTTAAGTGTTACATCCACTCCCAGGTCTCTTTCTCGAATCGTTACAGGTAGGCAGTTCCCCTTCATTGTGTACTGTCCCTTTGATCGCCTATCACCTGATTCCATTTCCACAACATTACATTTACTCGTGTTGAACTCCAGTAACCATTTCTCTGACCATCTCTGCAACCTGTCCAGGTCCTCTTGGAGGACCCTACAATCCTCATCTGTCACAATTCTTCTCATTAATTTTGTATCATCTGCGAACATTGACATGTATGATTCCACTCCTGTAACCATATCATTTACGTAAATTAGAAATAGGATTGGTCCCAGCACCGATCCTTGAGGTACTCCACTCGTTACTGTTCACCAGTCTGACTTCTCGCCCCTTACCATTAACCTCTGGCTCCTTCCTGTTAGGTAGTTCCTTACCTATGCTAGGGCCTTTCCGCTTACTCCTGCCTGTCTCTCAAGTTTGTATAGCAGTCTCATGTACGGTACTGTATCAAAGGCCTTTTGGCAGTCAAGAAATATTCAGTCTGCCCAGCCTTCTCTGTCCTGCCTTATCCTTGTTATTTTATCATAGAATTCGAAAAGGTTTGTTAGGCATGATTTCCCTGTCCAGAACCCATGTTGGTGCTTGTTTACAAACCCAATGCTTTCCAGGTGCTCAACAAGTCTTAGCCTAATTATTCTTTCAAGTATTTTGCAGGGGATGCTTGTCAGTGATACGGGTCTGTAGTTAAGTGCCTCCTCCCTATCACCTTTCTTGAAAATCGGTACAACATTTGCCTCCTTCCAGCAACTGGGCAATTCTCCCGACATAAGTGACTCATTAAAAATCATTGCCAGAGGCACGCTGAGGGCCTGCGCTGCCTCTTTTAGTATCTACGGTAATACTTTGTCTTGTCCAACCGCTTTAGTTGCATCTAATGTTGTCAACTGTTTTATGACCTCCTCTGCTGTCACCTTTATATCTGATAGTCTTCCGTCTAGGGTAATCTCTTCTAACAATGGGAGCCACTCAGGCTCGGTTGTGAACACTCCATGGAAACTTGCATTCAGTTCCTCGCAGATTTCCTTGTCACTTTCTGTATATGCCCCTTCTGTTTTCCTCAGTCTTGTCACTTGGTTATTTACCGACATCTTCTTTCTTATATGGTTATGTAGTAATTTAGGTTGTTTTTTCGCTTTGATTGCAATATCATTCTCATAATTTCTTTCCGATACTCGTCTTATGTTAATGTAATCGTTCCTAGCTCTGTTACATGTAATCCTGTTGTCCTCTGTCCTTTGTCTTCTGTACTTCCTCCACTCCCTCTTGCTTCTCACCTTTGCTTCCTGACACTGTCTATTAAACCATGGGTTATTATATTTCCTCCTGCTTTTTTCCTTTACTGTTGATATAAATCTCTCTTCAGCCTCCTTGCATTTCAATATGACTTGGTTCATCATACCTTGCACTGTTTTTCCTCTAATTTCTTCCTCCCACTGCACTTCTCCCAGGTAGTCCCTTATCCTTCTGTAGTCCCCTTTTCTATAATCAAGTCTCCTTTCCCAGACCTCCTGTCCTTTGGTCACAATTTTAAGTTCCATCATGTAGTCAAAGACTAGGACACAATGGTCACTGGCTCCTAGTGGTATTTCATGTTCCAAATGCTTCTACATTCTTGGTGAAAAATGAGGTCTAATAGGCTGGGCATATCCCCTCCTCTTTCCCTAGTGTCTTCTTCCACATGCTGTGTTAGCAAATTCCTGTCAATAACGTCTTCCAGCTTCGCTCCCCACGTCTCCTCCCCACCATGGGGATTCCTTGTTTCCCAATTTATCTCTCCGTGATTTAGGTCCCCCATGATCAGCAGCTTCGCTCTCAATCTATGCGCTATTGTTGTTGCCCTCTGCAGTTCATCTATACATGCCTTGTTGCTGTCCTCATACTCCTGTCTGGGCCTTCTATTGTTAGGCAGGGGATTGTAGAGTATCAAGATCACAATCTTCTTCCCATCCGCTGTCAGAGTTCCATGTATGAAGCTTGTGCTTTCATTGGTACCCGGATTTTCCAGCTCATCAAACTTCCATTTCTGCTTTATTAGGAGTGACACTCCCCCTCCCTGTCTCTATGTCCTTTCTTTTCTTATCACCTGGTACCCCTCTGGAAAGATTGCATCCGAAATCATACCATTTATTTTAGTTTACACTATTGCCACTATGTCTGGATCTGCCTCACTAACTCTTTCTTTTATCTCTTCTGCTTTATTGGCTACCCATCAGCATTTGTGTACCAAACCTATATGAGTGTGTGTGTGTGTGTTTGTGTGTGTATGTGCGAAAAAAATAAAAAAAAATTAGTTAGTAACAGTTGTTTGATAGTTGAGAGGCGGGCCGAGAGAGCAGAGCTCAACCCCTGCATGTACAACTAGGTGAATACACACAAAAACACCGCGCGCGCGCGCGCACACACACACACACACACACACACACACACACACACACACACACACACACACACACACACACACACACACACACACACACATTCTCGCCTCTGACAAAACACAAGGAGGAGGATTGACTGTGAACCAATTCACAAATATGCAGACGAGGAGTCACAATAACGTGGCTGAAATATGTTGACCAGACCACACACTAGAAAGTGAAGGGACGACGACGTTTCGGTCCGTCCTGGACCATTCTCAAGTCGATTGTGATGATGAAGATTGATAAAGAGTAAGCCACCCAAGAGATGGCACGGGCATGAATAGCCCGTATGTGGTTATTCATGCCCGTGCCACCATGTCCGTCCTGGATCTGGAGAATGGTCCAGGACGGACCGAAACGTCGTCGTCCCTTCCCTTTCTAGTGTATGGTCTGGTCAACAATTCACAAATATCCGCCCCTGTTTTCCCAGCAACACCTGGGGACCTGGGATTGGCGGGTGGTGTACCAGAGGGAACTATAGTGGGCAAGGCTTACCATGAGCTATGGGAAGGAAAAGGCAGATAGCATCTGCCCTTGCCCCCCCCCCCTGTGTACAAAGTAAAGACTGAGCCAAGACTCTCAAAGAGCAGCCCAGTGAAGACTCCAAGACTGAGC